GATGATGATTAATTTGTTGAATATTTCTTAGAAATTATTATCATAAAGAATTTACTGATATAATAATGAAAAAAAAATATATATACCCATTATGTTAAATCGGGCATAAGATGCATTTGTGAAGAATTTAAAAAATATTTTTCTTCCTTCTCACTTACTACTGAATACATATCCGAAGTTGCTTAAACAAGAAACGAAAAAAAAAAAAAAAACAGATTGTTAAAAGGAAAAAAGTAACAAGAAACCTTCAAAGAATGCAAAAGTCACGAAGACACAATGACACATCTATCATTTATATACAATATAATAAAAAAGATTAAACCATAATCGAGAGGAAATGAGTTCATGTTCGACATCATCAAAAAGAAACAACAACAACATAGAACGACGTTCATTCTCACATTTTATTAAAAATTCTATACCAGTAAACGAGTAAAAATAAATAAATAGTCGAGGTAAAGTAGAAATAATTTAGAAATTTTGTGTATTGTATTATTAGTTCTAGTTCAGTCAAAATTCAATCATTATTATATCTAATTGTGTAAAATAGAGAGTCAAACACAATTTCTCTTTGAAATACTTTCAATCGGAGATATATCAATATTCCACTAATCTTCAATAAGATTTTTTCTATGTTTACTAATCATACAAATTCAGACAAAGTTCGATCTTTTTCATATTAATTTTTTTACTATATTTCTCGTGCATATTTTTTTCTTCTTGTCCAACAAAAATGCAAAACAGATTCCTATCGTTACTACCACACACACACACTGTTTTTCATCTACATAATTGCAACTAACTGAAACTGATATCTATTAACGTACTATAAAAAATTAAATGACACAACAGAAATATATGACCATCACCACCATAACAAACAATAATAAAATATAAATAAATATCACAATCTTATTCGATATATTTCTACATATATAAGTCACAAATGTTTTAGTGTTCAAATTTTTTCTTTCTAATTGACAAAATGATACATTTATCTTTAAAAAATATTTTAGAATTCAGTTAATTATAAATAGGCAAGTCATTCACGATAATTTTCCTTTCTTATACGATTTCTAATAAAAATAAATAAATTGAAAATAAATTGTTTTGATAATTTATTTTACATATTGATTTCTGCCGAGATTTTCATCACTATATTTCTTTTTAATGATAGATATTTTTTTATTACTCTAATGAAAATGTTGTTGAACTTTTGTTCATATGTTTATTTTTCGTGTTGTTGTATTTGTTTCATTTTTATGTATTTATGTACGAAAGAAAAAAATGGCTCTAACTAAAATGAAGGTGAATATATTAATACATAAACATTTTTCAGTTTTTTTCCTATCACATGGTGTTCTGTTTGCTCACATATTATTCATTTATTCTTCTAACATTGACATATGAGAATAATGCATTAGTATTATTATTATGTTCATAAAAACTTTCTCTCATCTTTTTCCAAATTTGAGTTATAATATTTTTTATAAATATCGTTAGTTCAAAAGATGTAACAAAACTTTTTTAGTTTTATTTTTTCTCTTAGAAATTTTAAGAATACTCTATTATTTTGCTAATCGATTTCATATGTATATTAAAAATATCAATCTCATGTTATTATTTGTCCTTTTTTTCTTCTAATAAAGTGCTCCAATATATATATATATATGGAAGAACTAGTTTTTAGAAGAAAATATTGAGGGAAACAGATTTTTATCAAAACCGTGGCCAAGGTTTTTATATTTTATTTTGTTCTTCCCTTCTTTATTGTATTTTACTCTCTCTACTCTTTCTCTTCTATTCTCCCATTCTTTCGTTATGAAATATACACGTACGAGCATAATGGAGAAGAAAGGGGTTATTATTAAGACGTGTCGTTTTTTTGTTCCGGTTTATTCAAAACGACAATTTTTTTTTTCTCCTTTCTATTCGTTATTCATTAAATTCAAAAAAAAAAGAAAAACTATTCCAGGTTTGCTAATATCGCATCGTGTTTTTTACCCATTTTACTGAATTTAAATAATCTCTTCCACTTTGTTTCTTTTAAAGATAGTGTTCTTATTACACTATAAAAATGAATAACATCCCGTTTTTTTTTGTATTCCGATATTTTATGATAGATTAGATTAAAAAAAGAAAAATGTACTTAGTAGTTAGCTACTCAAATGTATTGTTTATGAGATAAGTCAAGGATATGCGAATATTTCATATTAACTGTCTTGGAATTAATATAAGCTCAATTTATCTTGAATACTTCTCTGCTTTGAATCTTTATCGAGGCCTCATAATTACTTTTTATCAGAGTCTATGACGTCATTTGGTCTTAAAATAATTACTGTTTTTTTTTCCTTACAAATATTAACTGTTTCTATGTTTATAACTATTTTAATTTTTATCCTTTTTAAGAAGAAACAATATTGTTTGCAAGCTATATATAGTCTTATTTGAATTATATGACGTCTAGTAACACGTCATTTTATGACGTAAGAAGAGTTAAATAATAACAATATGACTTATGATCATTTTTTTTTTGTGGAAAATTTGAATATGAAATATTTTTTCAATTGTTAAAATGTCATTGTCCGAATATTCTTCTATATCTAATGAATTTAAAGACAATTAATCAAATCTGTATAATAATCTTATCAAATCAGTCTATAATGACTAGTGTTAGAGAGAGAAAGAGAAGAAAGAAACCTTTTTTTAGCAATTATTCAAACGAAACTAAAAAAGATTAGACCATCTAACTAAAATGGACGCGTAAAAAACAAATAATCTTTTCTATTTTCTAGAAACAACAATAATAATCGGCATTGAGTAAGAAACATAGATATTTACTGTTATTATCAAGCAGAAGTAATAGATTCATTACTACTAGCTGCGTTCCTCTCTTAACGTTTTCCAGTATATAACGAATATCTTTAATATGGATATAATTTTTGTGTCCTTTTTGTCATCATAATATACAGGTGAATAAGTCATTCTAAGAATTTCTGATAATAAACACGATATATATATCTATTTCTAACACTATATGTTTGTTCTTGTTTAAATCAATGTAGATCACAAATGACGCAAATAAGGGAAAGACAAGCAGTCGCCCAAGGGTTCATTCGATATCAGTTTTTCAGTATAATATTTACTCGATTCAGTTTTGAGTAATCTTTTTTAATGGAATACGTAGTAAGGTGCCGGACGGGTTTTTATTTTTGCATTTTTTTATACATGATTGGATAAAGCACATCGATCTGAAGAAAAAAAGATCTGTTTATATGTTTGAAATAATTATTTTCATGTCGAAAAATTGAAAATATCTGAAGAATCTAATCTAAATTTTCGAAACTCATCAGTTTCAAAAAAATTCAAATTGTTTTCGTTTAAAAATGAGAAAATTCACTTTTTCTAGACCAGGAGTGAAAAAATTGGAAGTTTGCCTATCAGGTCATTTTAAGTTTTTTTAATTTTTACGTCAAAAAATCACTGAGATTTTCACCAAAAAAATAAAAATCAACGAAAAATCTTGAAATATATATCATTCAACTCAGTTTTTGACCCTGAATGTGAAAAAAGTACTGCCAACAAGTTAGAAGAACGAAAACAATTTGAATTTTTTTGAAACTGACAGGTTTTTCAAAAGTTTAGACTTTTCACGTATTTTCAATTTTTCGACATGAAAATAATTATTTCAAACATTGAAATATATTTTCTTCTCCAGATCGACGTACTCTATAAAATCATGCACAAAAAAAAAGTAAAAATAAAAACCTGTTGAGTTTTTGAATTTCCGGCATCTTAAAGTGGTAAAAGAACAAGAGAAGAATAGTTTTTCTTAGCAGTCGTTTATACTAGTATTCTGTTTTGCCTGTTTATCTCTCCCGCTCATCGAGTTCACTCATATGATGATGAGAAATTTATTTTCGCCTGCGGTAGATACCCTGCATATTACTTTTTCCTTCCTTTTTATTCTATTTAGCAATAGATGTGCGAGAGAAAGGATGAAATATTTATAGCTAATGCAAATTCACGGAAAAAAGCTTGGATTGTTGCAGTTTAAAAAAAAATTTTCAAAAAAGTTTTCTTTTCAGACATTTATTTATTAAAAACTCATTTTTGTCGAAACACTTTTTCGTAAAAAAATTAGATCTTTTTCAGAAATCTTTGAAAAAGCCTAAGTAAGATGAAATGAGAAACTTTTTTTGCAGGTTTCACAAAATTTTTATTGATAGATCACATATTCTTTGCTAATATGTACATGAGAAAGCGACATGTAACTATCTCTTAGAGAAGCTAGAAGAGAAATGACACTCACAGTAAAGATGGCTTTTATAGAAAAAAATTTCAGTTCGTAGGGACAAATCTGTTTATGTCCAACTCTTTCTTTTGCCTCGATAAAGATTTACGTAAACATGAAAAAGCCCTGATTGCATTAATCTGTCTCCGCGTTATTTTTTCATGTTCTCAAAATATTAGCTGCTACCGTTGCAAATGTAACATTAGAATCGACGGAGAAACAGTCTAAGCTGCATACACTTTACATATAAGTCACTTTGGTATTTTTTTAAACAGTTTAAATAACACTTACCCACTTAAAATCACACTTTAGCATAACAGACATACTCTTAAAGTGCGATTTTTTTGAATTGACTAGAATGCTTTAAGTTCTAAAAATAATAATAATTCGACAGACTTTACACTTCGTTGAGCGAACTCTTAGTTTGAGAGCGTGATCAATACTCTTACTCATATTTGTACATATAGTAGATACACACAATATAATCGATAAATGCGTATAATTTAGCTTGTGTATTCTCAAAAATAATCATATAAAAAATTATTTTTTCTAGGACATTTTATCAATATCATGACGAGAAGAGGTTTTTAATATTAAGTATTAGTTGAATGTTCGTTGTATATCAAGAATCGACCAATTAATGTAGTTTTTTTATGGTATTGTCGATATAAATTGTTCTTAATTTAAAATCGTCAAACTGATCTCAATGGACCATACGTCAAACGGGTCCACAATTGCCTCACTTGTTGGCTCAATAGCAAACAATCCTCCAAATTTAACTGACAATATAAATGCAGAAATGTTATTGAATCATTTAGTGAATCCAGCAACTTCTACATCGTCTAAAAATGCTGAAATAATAAAAGGACAAAAGTTTGACGTTGCACCACGTTACACAGATTTAAAATATATTGGTGAAGGTGCTTATGGTAAGTTGTATAACACTTTGTATCTTTGTTCTTCTTAGATTTTAATTTAAATAACCATTTTCATCGTAGGTATGGTTGTATCGGCATTTGATCATATGACACAACAAAAAGTGGCTATAAAAAAAATAACTCCATTTGAACATCAATGTTTTTGTCAACGAACACTACGAGAAATAAAAATTTTATCTCGTTTTCGTCATGAAAATATCATTAATATTCAAGATGTTATACGAGCACCAACAATTGATCAAATGAGAGATATTTATATTGTTCAATGTTTAATGGAATGTGATATGTATAAACTATTGAAACATCAACGTTTAACAGAAGAACATATTTGCTATTTTCTCTATCAAATTCTAAGAGGATTAAAATATATTCATTCAGCTAACGTGTAAGTAGGAGAGAATTCTTATCACATTACTCTTTTTTGCTTTAAATATATACTATTGAAACCACTTTCATTTGTCTGAGTACTGGATATAGCTTATATTGACTATTGTATCTAAATAGTTCATCATCATCATTGAATTAAAGGAGAGGATTCACAACTTCTTGTGATTTTATAGTTTATGTTCGATTATTTTTAGATTACATCGGGATTTAAAACCGTCCAACTTATTACTGAACACAAATTGCGATTTAAAAATTTGTGATTTTGGATTAGCTCGTGTTGCCGATCCTAATCATGAACATGCTGGACTATTAACTGAATATGTTGGTAAGTTAATTGTATCTTAATATCTAAAAAACAATTATTCTTCGAATTAATCATGTTTTGTATCTCTATTTAGCAACAAGATGGTATCGAGCACCAGAGATTATGTTAAATGCTCGTGGTTACTATAAACCAATCGATATCTGGAGTGTTGGATGTATTTTAGCTGAAATGTTGACAGGTCGACCGATTTTTCCAGGTAAAATTCTTTTTCCTTCGAATGAGAGAACCGTCTCAAGTGATAAATCGCCTTTTTCATCAAATACAGTTTTATGGGTTATCTTTAATGCTGTAAAATTATAAATAACCAGTGGAATATAAAGTTTTTGTCACTTGAAAACTTGGTTATTCAGTCTGAAAACTATTCACGAGCAGCGTGACTCAGTCGGCTAGTGGGTAGACAGCGTACTTTAAACATACGGAGTTCGAATCCCGACAACGGCAGTCACGTGAACAAGCTTGAACAAGCTTGAACAAGCTATCTAATGCTCATTATCTCGGTACCCTTGGACACAGATGCAATGGAGTAACCCGATTTCAGTGCCATTGGACTAGAGAGATGAGGGTTAATGTTTAAAATAAAAAACTATTCTATATATGTAACTTAACCTACTCTACAATCTCAATTTATTAGAATCTCTTCGTTCGAAAGTTTTGGATGGATCAGAAAAGATCTTGTTTCTAAAGAACGATACCAGGACGATCTAGCAGTCGCAACAGACATTGGACTCATGATCAACATCAAATACAATCTATAAAAAACTGTATTTCATGAAAAAAAGCCGATTTATTACTAGGGGTATGACAGTTCCGTATCAGCTCCTATCATAGGAACTGTTGAAAAGTTCTTTTGAAAGGAGCTAACATGTTTCAGCAGCTCACTAGTCGTCTAGACAAAATTTAAACGTCCCGAATGTTCACTAGACGTTCATACAAGGGGAGACAAGCGGACTCCTGGACTCCTGAAGTCCAGGAGCAAAGTGTTCTTTTTTGGGAATCACTCCCCAAAAAATGGACAGTTTTGTTCTTTTTTGGGAAGTGATTCCCCAAAAAGAACACTTTGCTCTTGGGCTCCTGGACTTCAGGAGCGACCAGTGCTTCGAGTTGAGCAAGCTCTTGCTTCAGCATGAAAGCTTTAGCAGTAGTCGTTGAAAAAATTTCAAAAAATTTCAATTTTTAAAATTTCAAAAGAGCTGTTCAAACATATCAGCTTCTTTCAAAAGAGCTGTTCGAACAGATCAGCTCCTTTCAAAAGAACTGTTCAACAGTTCTTTCGCTCAAATGAGCTGAACTTATGAGCTGGAACTGTTACAGATCTATTTATTACTTGAAGAGGATTCCTCGCAAATTAATTTCACCAATTACTCATTTCATACATAGGTAAACATTATATTGAACAAATCAATTTAATTCTAAATGTTGTTGGCAGTCCGTGTGAAGAAGATTTAAATTCAATCGTGAATGAGCGTGCAAGAAATTATGTATCACTGTTACCCGTTCGTCAACGTACACCGTGGAAAAAATTATTTCCCGAGGCAAATGATCAAGCATTGGCTATGCTCGATTTTCTGTTAACATTTAATCCAAATCGTCGTGTTTCCGTTGAAGAAGCTCTTGCACATCCTTATCTCGCCCAATATTTTGATCCGACTGATGAACCAGTTGCTACACATCCATTTACAATTGATATGGAATTTGACGATTATCCAATTCAAAAATTAAAAGAATTAATATTTGAAGAAACAGATTCAATACGAGATCGATTATTGAATAGAGAGGGTTAAGTGAAATATTTCTAGATTCTTTAGTTTTTCACATAAGATGTGTGCACATACGGCAAACTACTACCCATAGATTTTATTTCTCATCACAGCTATTTATTGAAACGATATTGAACTCATTAAATACATTTGTCTTCTTTTTTCGTTATTTATTTACTGTGCAGTGTATTTTAAATAATTAGAATGGATAAAGCATTCTATGTTGTTTTGTTAATTATTTATTTTTTTGCTTCGCGATGGTGATCTTTTTTCTTCATCATCACCTATGTGGTTAAAATTATTTATGCTCGTTCTGAAAAACAACTGTCATTTCCTCTACCCAAATATTTTATATCTTTTATTTTTTTGTCTCTAGTTTTCCACCATACATATTGTATATTTATTTTCAATGGTTTGTACTTATTTCTTTTTCTGTTTTAGCGCTTTTTGTTCGACTCATTATCAATACTATGTTGTGTTCTCTAAATACTATTATTTATGGTTAATGTATTATAATATGTATAAAATAATTAAAAAATATTTAACTTTATAATAATAATAAACATATGAGTGTTATTCTAGTGAAAGAAAAGGTCTATTTCAATTAAATATGTAACATAGATTAGCTAAGGAAATAGATACTTGAACACTCGTTCAAAGATACAGTTCATTTGCTGAGAGTACAAAATCAATGAGCAACTGAGGAGCAACTATATTAGATTTATTAAAATTTTAATACAGAAAAGCAGCATTCATATAAAATTCACACACACACACAACGTTTAAGAAGTACTCTCTAAAAAAAATAGGCATTTTAAAAAACCTAAAAAGGGTTCGGGAAACTGCAAATATACGGAACCCTTTAAAAGGTTTAGTAAGGGGTTTTTGACGTGCACTAAACCCTTTTTAGGTTCCGTATATTTGCAGTTTCCCGAACCCTCTAAAAGGTTTAGTAAGGGGTTTTTGACGTGTACTAAACCCTTTTTAGGTTCCGT